CCTCGTCTCTAGTGAAATACTTATGGATTTAGTTGTTATTAACATAGTAATATTGGATTCTCGTCTCTAGTTAAATACTTCTGGATTAAGTTGTTATTAACAGAGTCAGATTGGATCCTCGTACAAGTTAAATACCTCAGAATTAGGTTGTTAATAACAGAGGCTGATTGGACCCTCGTCACAAATGGAATGCCTCAGGAATAGGTTGTTATTAACAGAGTCAGATTGAATCCTCGTCACTAGTGAAATACTTAAGAAATAGGTTGTTACTAACAGAGTCAGATTGGATCCTCATCACAAATGAAATACCTCACGATTAGGTTGTTATTAACAGAGTCAGATTGGATCCTCATCACTAACGGAATGCCTTAGGATCAGCTTGTTATTAACAGAGTTAGTTTAGATCCTCGTCTCTAGTGAAATACGTCTGGATTTAGTTGTTATTAACATAGTAAGATTGGATTCTCGTCTTTAGTTAAATACTTCTGGATTATGTTGTTATTAACAGAGTCAGACTGGATCCTCATTTCTAGTGAAGTACCTTAAGATTAGGTTGTTATTAACAGTGTCAGATTGGATCCTCGTCTCTAGTGAAATACCTCTGGATTAGGTTCTTATTAACAGCTTCAGATTGAATCCTCGTCACTAGCGAAATACCTCAGGATTAGGTTGTTGTTAACAGAGTCAGATTGGATCCTTGTCACTAGTAAATTGCCTCAGAAATAGGTTGTTGTTAACAGAGTTAGATTAGATCCACGTTAACTAGTGGAATGCCTGAGGATCAAGTGCTTCGACATTTGTTTTATCTTATTTACATTAAATATTTTGATATATTAGTAAATTGTTTAATTCTGCTGATCATATTAAATTATTTTTCTAGCTATATTGTTGTTGTTAATGAGATACAGAATAACTTAGATCAATTTGCAACTTGAACAAATATTTGACGAATGATCTTTGATTATCGTAAGTGCAAATTAATGACTTTAATTATAATAATGTTACTCACTCATCATCGAAACAGTAAAACTAACATAATTTTATGGTGAATTTATTGACATGTTAATTACCAGTCAAAAGGGGTAATTATTTAAATTCAAATCACTATCATTATTTAGGTTTCTCTTGGAAGTGTTAACTTTTTAGGACATGTTACGATTTTATAATTTATTGTCTTTTGAGAAACAAAAGTTAAGGGGTGATTCTAGTAAGGTTTACAAGATTATCAAGGGAAGTGATAGGATAAAGGCTCCTGATGTAAGTTGGCTATCTAATTTAGCTAAAGGAAACTATATGTAAACTGTTCAAT